GGGAATTCTGGGAGTTTAAGTCTGGACATCTTCAAGTTGCCAAGGTTGAGAAACACTGTCCTAGACACTTCCCCATCTTCAAGTTGACAAGGTTGAGAAACACAGCACTAGAGGTTCATTCGCTGGCTGGGGAATTCTGGGAGTTGAAGTCCGGACATCTTCAAGTTGCCAAGGTTGAGAAACACTGTCCTAGACACTTCCCCATCTTCAAGTTGACAAGGTTGAGAAACACTGCACTAGAGGTTCATTCGCTGGCTGGGGAATTCTGGGAGTTGAAGTCCGGACATCTTCCAGTTGCCAAGGTTGAGAAACACTGTCCTAGACACTTCCCCATCTTCAAGTTGACAAGGTTGAGAAACACTGCACTAGAGGTTCATTCGCTGGCTGGGGAATTCTGGGAGTTGAAGTCCGGACATCTTCAAGTGGCCAAGGTTGAGAAACACTGCCTTAGAGAGCACCACTGATCCCATAGTCCTCCTCCTCCTCCTCCACTCTTCCAGCACTGATGATCTTCCCTAGTTGGGTCATGAAACGTCTCCAAGAGAACCACGCAGCTCAGGGAGCCCCCAGGGGCCCCCACTTCAGCCAGGCTTGATGGGGTGAATGAGGGAAGGGGAGCCTGACCCGACCAAGGCCCAGGAACAAACCACTTCTGCTATGGACGGCTACGGCGCCCCCCCTGCCAGGCAGCCCCACAGGAGGAGGCCCTCCCTAGGAAGCCCCTGCCTGCCTGGCACAGCTCGCTCTCCCCGCAGGGGCTCACCGTAGAAGAAGGCGACCCCAAGGCACATGAAGAGGGCCACGATGATGAGGCCGAAGCTGGTGCTGTAGGCGTCGATGAGGGTGAACCAGAAGATGCCACCCTGCAAGAGGAAAGACGCCAACGCCTGGCACCAAACTGGGCAGAGCCGGCCTGGGCCTCCTCTCCTGGGGGCTTCTCCCCAGTTCAGAGGCCGGACTTCCGCCTGAGCAGGTTGGCAGGGTTCCCCAACGCCTCCCCTCCTGGGGTCCCCCGCAGAGCACAGGAGGCTTCCCAAAGGACCCATCAGCCGCCTGACCAGAACTACGTAACCCCTAATGCTCTGCTCGGTCAGTACAAGACAGGTTGCAAGACGGAGCATCCAAATCTGGCGTCTCCATTGAGGGAACAAACCCCGTCCGTTCGGGGGGCTCCGGCCAATGAGGTGGTTGCCCGGTTTAGGCCACCCGCCAAGGGAGAAACCGGGATCCCACAAGGGAGCGAACCCCCAACCTCTCTCAACGCCTCCGTTGCAGGGACAGAGGAGGCATCTTGGATTACGGTACGGGTAGTCCTTGACTTCTGACCGTAATTGAGCCCAGAGCTTCTGTTGCTAAGTGAGACGGTTGTTCGGTTCGTATTGCCCCGTTTTATGACCTTTCTTGCCACAGTCGTTAAGTGAATCACTGCAGTGGTTAAGCCCGTCACCCGGTCATTCAGGGAATCCGGCTTCCCCCGTCGACTTTGCCGGTCAGAAGGTGGCAAAAAGGGACCGCGTGACCCGGAGGCAATGACCGTCATAAATACGAGTCTGTTGGCAAGCGCCTAAAATTTTGATCAGGTGGCTTTGGTGATGCAACGGTCGTTAAGTGTGAAAAAGGGTCCTGTTGTCACCTTTTAAGCTGCCGCCATGACTTCGACTTTAGTGACCATGACTTCGGTCACTAAATGGACAGTTGTAAGCTGAGGACTAGCTGTAATAAGTCAGAGGGTCTTCCCCCCCCCCCAACACAGGAAGTCACGATGGGATGATGAGAACGGGGGGAAGACGGGGTGGGGGGGCTTAGACAGACGGACGGACAGACGCTCTCACCTGGGTGATGAGGAGGAGGCCCAGCA